GAAGCAGGACGCTTCTCGGGGTTTGCCTCTCTCGTGGGCTGAAACAGGTCCCTGAGATGCCCGCGTCTGTCCTAATCCCACAGCCTGGGGATACGTCTTCTCACCTAGTGCAAGGGGCTCTGCAGAGGCGAACCCGTTAAGGATTTTGAGCCGGGGCCTGCCTTTCTTCAGGCGGCAGCACAGGCCTGGCCTTACACACGACGCAAATTTATTCCTCACGGTAACGGAGGCGGGAAGGCCAAGACCAAGGTGCCGGCCAGTTAGGGTCCAGCTTCTGTCCTCTCATGGTGTGAGGCGCGAGGGGGCTCTGTGGGGTCCCCCTCAGGAGGGCTCCGCCCTCACGACTTAACCCCTCCCAAGGTTTGAACGGAGCCTGTCTTACTCCAGGGCGGCTCTGGCCAGCTGTGGGTGAATATCCTGCTTCTCCACCAAGCCCAAGAGATCCTCAAAGAGGCACAACATTTAAGGGTGAAAAAGGAAGTACAGACTTGGGGTGCAAGGCCTGAGATGAGAGCAGAGACTATGCGTCTGGAATGTGGGCGGGAATGGAGGTCTCCTGGCCTCTGTGCCCAGGTTATGGGCACCTGGGTTCAAATCCCAGTTTCACCTGCCTCTCACCAGCTGTTCCCTCTAATTACTTAACCCTGCCGTGCCTCAGTTTCCCCATCTGCGCAGTGGGGTTGGTGATAACCATATCAGCCCCTCCTGAAGTTGTGATAAAGATTAACCAGGTTAGTCCACGGGTTAATCTGAGGCTGGGAAAGGCTGGGGCGGCCGGCTCCGGAGGCCTGCTGGGACCTGCTCTCTGGGGGTGCGGGGGAAGGTAATGGGCAGGTGGGACTGCCTGCAGCGCAGACAGCGGGCTGAGCTCAGCGTCTGGCTGCATGGACATGGCTGGGCCAGGGTTTCGGGGCCACCCCACCGGCCCGCTCCTGCTCCTGCTGCTGCTCCTGCCCCAGGCCCTGCCAGAAGGACCCCTGGTGTTCGTGGCTGTGGTGAGATGCCCCCACCCTGGCCTGGCTCCTCACCTCCCAGAGGCGGGCCCTGACCTAGTCCCCTCCCCAGGTGTTCCGCCATGGTGACCGGGCCCCGCTGGCCTCCTACCCCACCGACCCACACAAGGAGGCTGTCTCCACCCTGTGGCCGCGCGGCCTGGGCCAGCTGACCTCGGTAAGAAGCTGGGGTTGGGTGCAAGTGGTGGGGCCCCGCAGGGAGGGGTCTGCTGAGCCTACTCTGTCCCCAGGAGGGGGTCCGCCAGCAGCTGGAGTTGGGCCGCTTCCTGAGGAGTCGCTATGAGGACTTTCTGAGCCCTGAGTACCGGCGGGAAGAGGTACTGCCCTGTTGACCTTCACTTGGCCCCTGACCTTCCACCTCTGACCCTCACTGACACCAATGCTCTCCTTGCTCGGGCCTTTGATCCCCACCAACCTGATCAGCACCCTATGTGATCTCTGACCCTGAATCACACAACAGACCTCTGACCCCACCCCAATCAGTCACACCTTGACCTCTGACCTCCATCAATCTGGCTTTATTTTCTGGCATTTACCTCTGTCTTCTTACTCTCACTGACCTTCTGACCTCCACCTTTTCACTCCAAAATGACCACTTCTGTCTTTGACTTTCATTGAATCAATTGCCCTCGTGACCTCAAACCTTTGACCTTTGCCTTTCATCAAATCTGACTTTCTTTTCCTAGCTCCAATTCTGTCTCCTGACATCCCCTAATCAGGATCATTCCTCCTTACCTCTGACCTCTGATCCCTGATAGACATGGACTGAACTCTGACCCATGACCTCCATCCCACTCTCCTAACCTTGGCCTCCAGCTTCCAGCCAGCATCCATTCCGATCTTCCTTTTTGACTTTCATTGACTCAACTGATCCCCTTAATTCTATGCTCCCACCCAACTTCTGACATCCAACCAGACTGCTCCTGCCACTGACCTCTGACCCTTGATCCCAACTTCCAACACTGGAGCTCAGACACTCAAATCTGCCCTGATATTTTGACTCCTGACCCCTGACCTTCTACTCCAAAGTGAATCCAAAGCTTTGGGTTTGCCACTGCAGCTGACCTCTGACCCCGCCCATGGTGCCCTTGTGACTATTGCCCCCTCACCTGCCCTCTCCCACCTCAGGTCTATGTTCGCAGCACAGATTTTGACCGGACACTAGAGAGCGCTCAGGCCAACCTCGCGGGGCTGTTCCCTGAGGCCGCACCGGGACGCCCTGAGGCCACCTGGAGGCCCATCCCTGTGCACACAGTGCCGGTCACTGAAGACAAGGTCAGGAGACTGGACAGGGCCTGGGGTGGGAGGGGTGGAGAAAGGCAGAGCCCAGAGATGACCAGAGGCTTGGAGAGGAGGTGCCGGGCTTGGTAGGACACCCCCTTCCGCCCCCCGGGGTCTGAGTTGGAGCAGCAAGACCTCCCTGGGCAGAGTTGTCCAATGGGTGAGCCACTGTCCCCATGCTGCGCAGCCAGGTCCGGGAGAGAGAGCCACACAGCCCTGACTTCCCCACCCCCAGTCATGCTGCTGTCCTGAGCCTCAGTTTCCCCCAGTTGCTGAGGTTCCCCATGCGCAGTTGTCCCCAATACCATGAGCTGCTGCGCGAGGCCACGGAGGCAGCCGAGTACCAGATGGCGCTGGAAGGCTGGACGGTGAGCAGGGCCGGCGGGACGGGGCAGAGAGTAGTAGTGGCAGTCCCCAGACTCACCTGCCTGGTCCACCCAGGGCTTCCTGACTCACCTGGAGAACTGTACGGGGCTGTCACTGGTCGGGGAGCCACTCCGCAGGGCGTGGAAGGTTCTGGACACACTGATGTGCCAGGTGAGCCCCTGCCCCACGTGGTTAAGGGCACCCAGGTTCAAATCCCAGCTTTGCCGCTCAATACCCCCGTCCCCCTGGGCAAGTCACTTAACCCTAGCGCCTCGGTTTCCCCATGTGCACAATGGGGCTGGTGACACCCATGTGAACATCACCTGGGGGTTCCTGGGAAGATTAAAATGGATTAACCCGCCCTGACTGATGTTGCTTAGTGGTTAGAGGGTTGGTCCTCGATTTGAAGGGGTCAAGGGTTCCATTCCCGGTCAAGGACAGGTACCTGGGTTGTGGTTTGCTCCCCCGCCCTGGTGGGGGGCCAGTGCGGGAGGCAACCAATCGATGTGTCTCTCACATCAATGTTTCTCTCTCCCCCCCTCCTTCCCTCCCTCCTACTCTCTCTAAAAATCAATGGGAAAAATATCCTCGGGTGAGAAATAACCCCCCTCCAAAAAGAAGGAGCAATCTACACAATTCACGTAGAGCCCCTGGCACTCCGTGAGGCTGGCACTTGGGTTTGAGGCTACATGCCTGCAACTCCTCCTTCCTGGTTCCATGATCCAAAAAGCGCCCCAACCCAGATGTGGGCAGCAGGAGCTGACCCGAGGCAGCGCGACGCTCTTCAGAGGCTCGGCTCCCCACCTGAGGGCGGGCTCCTGGCTGCACAGTGGGGGGGCTGGCAATGTGCATGGTTAAGGGGCTGCCCAGACCCTACTGCACGTTACGAGGTATGTGGTATTAGCACCATCCGAAGGGTCCAAACTCCCAGGCATCTGAAACACCTCTGGCCCCAAGGGTCTCAGATAAGGGCCTCTGAACTGTGGGACGATGGCGGTTACTGTTAGTAACTGCTACTGTCCAATCGCAACCTCCTGACCGCCCCCGACCATGAGGGGCTCAGATGGGGGTGTGGAGAGTGTTGTAGGGAATGGGAACAAGCAGACGTTGGGAGG